TTTTATGTAAAATTGTTTAAATATCCTCAATGATTTTTCTTTGAGTGTTGATTCAATCAAGATGTTTAAATCTCTTCACTATTATACTTGAAGAGGGCAGCAACATCATGGTGGGGCTAGCTTGGCTTGAATTGGTTGCAGCACTTCAACGATTGGTGGCTTCCTTCAACTATTGGTGGCATGATTGGGACATTGACAAAGACTCAAACCCTCTTTGAATTAATTAAAGCATGACTTCTATGATCCATGGAGGAGACTCCAACTACCCTTTGGATTAGTACATCTCTTCATTGATATGACATTTGATGGGTGGGAATTGTTATTTTTGAACTACATACTCTCTCCAAGAAGCTGGCATAGAAGTTGAGAATCTGTAGTTATATGGGATGTTCATAACGATTTATTTCTACATTAGTACTCAGTAGCTTTGTTTATACCCTGCAACAATTGTTATTAATATTTAGGTGCAGGTAGCTTTCTATTTTTAATTGTCTATATTTATCATGAGATAATTTTCATTTGTGTCTACTGTTATAGGATATACTTCTATTTTGGTTAGACGGTGCCATAAAGAGATTCATATATAATCTTAATTTCATTATTTTAATATAACTCTATTTCTGATTAAAGAAAAAAAAACATATTTTTAATCTTAATAGTTCAATATCCAAACTCCAGTAAGACAATTTGTAATTGGTAGAGAGTCCATCGAAAATCTACAATAACAGATAGAATTATGAACCTATTCTCTTGATCATCCTTATGGGAAAAAAAATAGTACAAAAACGATAGACCAATGTCCAAATTTTCATCACCCAAACCTCCTCTTGCTCGGTTGCGTAAATTCATGGAGGATATGTTCTGCATCTTATTTATGGTGAGGGCTCTCTAAAAGCAACACAGTGTGACATGATGAATGTGTTGTTTGCATTACTTTATCTCTATAATGTTGCGTGTATTGTCCCATTTTTTTTCTTTTGTCATCTTTTTAAGTAGGACACATAATTATCTGTTTTTAAAACTTCTTTTTCATATATAATTTCAATTTCATTATTTTAATACAATCTTTTTTTTAAGCCATTATTTTAATACAATCTCTATTTCTTATTTTTTTTTAAAAAACTTTTAATCTTAATATATAGTCCAATATCCAAACTCTAGTAAGGCACTTTGCAATTGGTGGAGAATCCAACAAAAATCTACAAGAATAGATGAACTTATTAAAACAAGGTCAAGGATTGATCTGACAAAGGAATTATGGCATAATAATCCTAGGGAGGCCTTAATCGACTAAAATTAGCTTTTGTCTTTAAATTTGGAATTGGATAGGAACATAGGAGTGAGTAGGTGATCAAATATGTAGCATTATTAAAATGTTATTTATTGCAATATGTAATGGATAGGATTACCCCTTGTACTCTAATAAATAAAATTTTCTTGCTGATCAAAAAAATAAGAGATTAACTTATTATCCTGTTCTCTTGATCATCCTTATAAAAAAAATTTTGTTAACCTGTTCTCTTGATCATTCTTATAAAAAAAATTAAGTACAAAAACAAATAAGCCAATGCCCAAATTTTCATCACCCAAACCTCCTCCTGCTTGCTTGCGTAAATTCATGGAGGATATGTTTTGCATCCTATCTATAGTGGGGGCTCTCTAAAAGCAACACACTGTGACATAATGGAGCAATGTGTTGATTCATATGTAAATATGGGTTAACTCATGTAAATGAGATGGGTATCCCTCATACACTTTGAATAAAATTGTCTTTATTTCCTACATAAAAACAAAAACTTAATTTTATCACTCAAAAGTTTGTTGTTTGCATTACTTTAAGATACTACATGTATTGTCTCATTTTTTTTCTTTTATCATCTTTTTAAATAGGACACATAATTGTCTATTTTTAAAACTTGCTTTTCATTTTATCGTGTAAGGTAGGTTGATTTGAAATTAGTTCAAAACCTAACCAAAAAATTGCTTTGAATCTCAATT